AGAGAGAGAGAGAGAGAGAGACAGACAGACAGACAGACAGACAGACAGACAGACACAGAAACAGAGAGACAGAGACAGTGTGCGCGCACATGTATATGCCTAGAGGCCCTTGCCTGCCCACAGTTTAGGGAATATTACCTTGTTGACGCATCTTCATGGTCCTTATCCTTATTGCCTGTCCTCGAACTCGTCCCTCACAGAAATAAGCACCATTGATCTTACTAGCCTTTTCTCTCTTCCAAATGACCTTTTTAGCCCATTCTCTGGTCACATCTTGGGTAACTTCCAGTGGATCTTGGTGCTGGTTCATTAAGGCTTCAAAGTCTCTTCCGATGGTGATGGGCTCATGAGGTTGCCATCCAGAGGCAATGCAGGTGAGAGAGGTCTCAGCATCAGATACAAGAGGTAGGGAATTGATCAAGATCAAGTCCATGGCACCTTTCACTGTTCCTGAAAAGAAAGAGTATATGATATGTGACAAATGCTATTAATGTGGCTTCACAGGGTGAACTGATCTTGTCCAAAACCTTTTCTGAAAATAGTTGTGAGCAGTCCTGCTAAAATGCTATTCTGGGCCACAAAGATAGCTCAGCAATCTAAGCACCTGCCTAGGTAAGCGCAAGGACTAGAGTTCAATTCCTGGAACCACATGCCATGACAGCCCCACCCTGGGTACACCGAGTGGGCCACCAAGACCAGGCATAGTGGTGCATGCCTATAGTCCCAGTGCTGGGGAGGCCAGAAACAGAAGGATCCTTATGAGTTGGAGCTGCATAGAGAGACCCTGTGCAAAAATACTAAAATAAAATAAATACTATTCTGATCATGCATCTATCTTCCACTGAACAAGATTCAAAACTCTTTACCAAAACATTAGACCTTTCATCATCATGATTTCATTAGTCTCCCTTGCACCACCACACACCCTGTCCACAATGGAAAATGAACCCTAACCTTAACCCCTAAATTCTAACTCTAACCCTCTCACTGCCCAAAAAGTCACATACTACATAGCTATACACTACATTGCCTGAGATACAGTTAGGCACATAGTAAATATTTAGTTGGGATAAATTAATGATCATGGCACTATCATAATTATTCAACAATAATTATCATCATTGCTCATTATTTATTAATAGATGCTAGTGTAGTAACTCTAAAATAAAGTATGTCAAGAAACATACTAAGTACATATAGTAAATACAGGCCATCATTTTCAAAAAATTGCCCAGTTCCACTTCAAATTTTTCAAGAGAGGAGCAAGAGCTGAGAAAAGTCTACATTTCCTTGTAAGCCTCATTTGTCTCCTCTTTAAAATAGTATAAATATGACTATCTTTCAGAATTCTCATGAAGACCAAACAAGAAAATACATAATTTGCCAAGTGCTGTCAATTACTGAGTACCAGTGACCATGGTTAATTTTCCTTTGTCTATCTCCTAAACACCTAGCCCCAAACCTCATGGGTCCGCAATATTAAAACAAAGCCCTCAACATTTACTCTATGAATATATTCCATAAATGACACCACACACTTAAAAAGAAAACCCTCTCATTTTGTTTTCTCAGTGTTTCTATTTCCTGCCCACACTCACATCTACTTTTCTCGGCCTCTCCCTGTCCCTGTCCTCTTGCCTAACATGAGAAAATGGAATTTGTCTTTTCGCCTCTCTTCTTAAATATGGACATGTCAGGGACAGAAAATGTCCTCCAGCTCTAGTGAAGTCTGACTCACAAGTCTGTGCAAAATGATGGAAAGACCCAGAAGATCACGCACAGTGGGTGATAGGGACCCAGCTAATCTCAAAGGCCTTTGGGTACACACTCATCAAGTGATTGAAGTGCACTGCATGCTGGAGATGGTGACATTTCAGAGTTTTCAGTGACACAATCAGCCTGCTGTGGCATGCGTGCCATTGCCTCGCCTACACTGCAGTTCGCTACTTCATTTAATACCCACTAATTCTCCCAACAACACTTAGAGATATGCACCATTAGCTTAATTGCAAATAGGAAGAGGGCAAGTCTCAAAAATAGGGTAGTTTGTTCAACTGTGCACAGCTACTAAAGGCAGAGCTGATTCTCACTCAGTCCTTGGATACACCATGCTATTTCCTACTTCAAAATCTTTATACTTGCAGGGATTTTTTTTTAGACTGGGCTGCTTCTCTCTACTTTTGACAAGGATAAATTCTGCTCATCTGTTGGATCCCCGCTTGTCTGTCACTTTCCTGTAGAGAGCTTCTCTGCTAGCCTTGTCTTTAGTACCTAAACAATCTCATCCCATTATCTTCTACTTCCATTTGTTTATTTCATAAACAGTACTACAATTTGTGATTATTTACTCCCACTTCCTTTAGTAAGTTCCATGGGGATAATGATTTAAGTTGTTTTGCACAGGAATAAGAATTTAGGGATTGACAACCCACAACCCAGGCCCAGTGTGTGAGTGAGATGACCTCGGCCCCTCTGGATCCTCATTCAACCAAGAGCCTGGGCCCAGTGTGGAACCCTTCAGCAGAACTCCCTGCAAAGAGTCTAGAGGCAAGGCCCTCCCAGCTGACTCAAGAGCAGAACACCTTGCCAGAATGGCACAGCGGGTTCACCTCCAAGGGCTGCAGCAAGAAGTGGAGCACAGCAGCCAGACCCAAGCCACATCCACCTGAAGGAGTCGGAACTTTGTAAAACTTGACCTGGTGCTAAGGTAATAACTCTATCTAAGCTCTACACCAAAGGTCAGAAGACAGTGGTATACAAAATGACAAAGAGAAGAAACAAAATGCACTCTCAGGCCCTGAGTCCACCCAGAACAAATGCAGAAGACACTAGCATAGAAGAAATTGGAAATCACACACATGAAATCTCTGAAATAATAGCGTTGAAAGTAAAGAAACAATTACAGAAAGGTATAGAAGAAATCAGGTCAAAAATGATTTCTTAAGTAAAAAAAGAAATGATGAGACCCAGTCCTAGCCCAGGTCCGGTGAGTGTGCGGAGAGTTTCCTGCTACCCTGCGCCAGCAGGACCAGTCCCAGCCCAGGCACAGCATGGGCCGGACCCTCTCCCAGCCCCTCAGGCCGCACCCCACCACTCCTCAGTGCCTCCCCCACCCCGCCCGCCGAGTAGGATTTTCTGCCGAGTTCCGGGAGCCCCCAGACCCAGTCCTAGCCCAGGTCCGGTG